ATGCTTCCTGATCTTGAGTCATATGCTGTTGATCCTGATCCTGAATTGTACCCTGGTCCTTAATAACCACTTACCTGGATTGTCTTGAGTTCTGTGTGAGCACTGCAACAAATCCCTGACCCCAGGAGAGAAGTAGAGCAGGTTGGGGGTGGATAGGTAGTTTCAGAAATGGTAAAAAGTTCGACAGTGGAGCTATGCCTATTTCAGATTACAAAAGTTGGTAGAAATCCTTAATTTCTTCATGTTTGGCTTTTGTAATTGGTGTGTATACCTGAACGATGGTTTTATTAACAGAGCTTCTTTGATGCATATGGACCCTATTACAGAATCGCACTTCAGGACAGATTATGAAATGCTCTCTTTGACAATGACTACCACACTGTTTTTCAATTTGTCATTTCTGGTAAAGTGGATCATATGATTGATTTAAAATCACCAGTATCAGTCCATCTCAGTTCATTAATGACTAAGTCTCTATACATTCCATTTCATTTTTTAGAAAACTTCCAATTTTCTTACATTTATACCAAGTATATTCTATGTTCCAATTATTCATGGAACATAATGCTCCTCTTTCTCCTCATTTTGACTCTTTCCATGTCAGCAAATGAAAGTCTTTAATTGACTGAATGGTATAGATTGCATCTCAGTGTCAAGAAAATAAAGATTCTTACCACAGGACCAATAGACACCATCATGATGGCTAGAGAGGAGATTGAAACTGTCAACAGCTTCAACTTGCTTCAATCTACAACTAACATCTTTGCCACCAAGAGTCAGGAAATAAGGAGACATATTGCACTGTGAGAATCTGCACTTAGGGACATTCCCAAATTATTAAGGAGTAATGAGATCAATTTAAGGACTAAGGTGCATCTGATCTTGGCCATACTCTTTATGACTACTTGCTATGCATTTGAGAGCTGGACAAAAAATAAGGCTGGCAGAAGAAGCATTGATGTTTTTGAGATGTGATGTTGGAGAAGAGCACTGAACATCCCATGTATGGCCAAGAGAACAAATGGATATGTCTTGGAGAGGGTGCAGCCAGAATGTCCTTTGGAGGCAAGAATGATGATGCTTTGACTCACATACTTAGGGCATGTTGCTAGGCTGGTCTCTTTCTTAGAGAAGGACATAATGCTAGGAAGGGTAGAGAGTCAGCAAGAGAGGAAAACACTCAACTGGGTGGATTGACACAGTGACTGCTGCAATGAGCTCTTGTATTTCAGGAAGTGTGAGGATGGTGCACGATAGGTCTTTTGTTCATGGGGTCACTATGAGTTGTGTTTGACTCAATGGCACTTAATACAAACAACAGTAAGTGAAAACTTTACTTCATCCACATCAATAAGATGTACTACATTATGAGATGGCAGGTCTTTCTGTTACATCTTGAGTCTTTCAAGCTGGGGGCTAATTTTCTGGCCCTCTATTAAACAAAGAAGTGCGTTACTATTCATGGAGTTCTCGAAAACTTGTTATTTCCAAAGTGAAAGTCAAGTCCTTTCTTAGTCTCTTAGCTCCACTGGATCTTGTCCACCATGAGCATTTTAAGTACCAGTGACAAAGCTTCCAACATCACAACAACACACTTCACTACAGTATGGGCATGATGCCCCTCTCCAAGGACTGGTCCCTCCTTGCAACATGCCCAGAGTAGGTGAGACTGAGCTTCAGAACCTTTGCCTCCAAGGGGCAGCCTGGTTTCACCCTCTCCAGGATGCACCTGTTTGCTCTTCTAGTAGCACGTGGTATATTCAATACTCTTCCACAGGACGACAGCTCAAAGACCTCAGTTATTCTGCTATCATCCTTAGTCCTTGTCAAGCGTTCTGATGCCTAGCAAGTAATTCAGGATAGTTTTTGAAATACCTTCTTTTAATATCACACCCTTCGTCTTCATTTTATCAGGACTGCATAGTTGTTGTTATTGTTGTTATGTGCTATCGAGTCGCTTGCAACTCATAGCAACCCTATGTACAACAGTCCTAAACTCTGCTCTATCCTGTGCCAATTGCACTGCCTCTGACACACCCATCCCGATTACCCCAGTCACTGAATCAATCCACCTCATAGAGGGTCTTCCCCTCTTGTGCTGTCCCTCCATCCTCCCAAGCATATGTCCCTCTCCAAGGACCTGTCCCTCCTTACAAAATGTCCAAAGTATGTCAGATGAAGCCCCAGAATCCTTGCCTCCAAGGAGCAGCCCAGTTTAACCCTCTCCAGGATGAATCTGTTTGTTTTCCTAGCAGTCGATTGTACATTCAATATTCTTCTCCAGCATCACAGCTCAAAGGCAATTCTCCTATCCTCCCTAGTCATAGTCCAACTCTCTGATGCATAACAAGTGATTGTAAAGACCATAGCCTGTATCAGATGCACCTTGGTCTCCAGAGTGACACCATTGCTCTTCAGTACCCTGGAGAGGTCCCTAACAGCCGACTTTCCCATCACAATACATTTTTTTATTTCCTGGCTACTGATGCCAAGAGTATTGACCATGGAGCCAAGAAGACTAAAGTTGTTAACAATTTCAATCTCTTCACCATCCATCCTGATACTGCCAATTGGTCCAGTGGTGAGAATCTTTGTCTTCTTGACACTGAGCCTCAATCCTTACTGAAGGCTGCAGTCCTTGACCCTCTGCAACAAGCATTTCAGGTTCTCCTCAGTTTCAGCAAGCAGGATTGTGTTATCTGCATAACGCAGATTGTTAATAGATCTTCCACCAATCCTGACGTCACACTTCTCCTCATAGAGCTCAGCCTCTCGGAGTATCTGTTCTGGTTGAAAAGGTATGGAGATAGGACACATCCCTGCCATACACCTTTCTCAATTTTGAACCATGCAGTGTTTCCCTGTTTTGTTCTGACAATTGCCTCTTGGTCAAAGTATAGGTTTCACATTAGAAAGATCAAGTGTTCTGGGATTCCC